ACCGAGGAGCCTTGGACTGGGTCCCTCTGCCCAGACTGTGTCTTCTGGAGGTCGGCAGAGAGAGGCCCAGAGACAGCATGGCAGCGGGGGGCGGGGGGGTCCCATCGAGCTCTCCAGACCCAGCCCTCCTCTCCCAACAACCCTGAGTAACCTCCGCAGGTAGCACAGAGGGGCCTCGGCACAGCCAGCTCTCAGCTGCGCCCAGACCCAGACTCATAGCCAAGGGCGGGAAGAGGCGGCTTCCGCGAAGGACAGGGAGACGCAGGGCTGAGAGAGGTCTGGGCTCCACGGCCAAGGGCAAGAGGTCGGGAACGAGAGGCTTTGGTGACCTCTGGGGCCCCGGCTGGCCCGGGGGTGGGGGCTTTATCGCTCTCTCTGATCTGAGGGGTGCGGGCGGGTGTCTGGTTTCCTCCCGTAGGTGTCTCTCTAGATGCTTTAATAACAGATTACTTTGAAGGGAGAGAAACCTTCTGGGACCCATTCATGACACCGACCAGAAAGCTTAGCCCCCCTCGGGGGACACGCCAGAGCCCCGGAGCTGTGAGCGTACGAGATGTCTGTGTGCGTCTGCTCCGGCCGACTCTTTGGAGAACAGAGAGTATTTATTTTAAGACTCGAAAAAGATGTTTTGACCAACCCCACTTACTTCAGTCCTGGCACTGATACCCGCGAGAGAAGCGAAATGCCGGAGGTCAAACCTCGCTTTTTTGGCTAAAATGCTTAATCAAAACACACCTAATCCTTGTGCCGGGCGTGGAGCTGGGGCTGAGAGCAGCTACAGCCACTGCCAGCAGCCGGCCAGCCACGCGCGTGCCGAGGGCTCAGCTCAGCGCGGCCTTGGCAGGGGCGGCGGGGGGGGCGGGGGCGAGGATCTGGAGGGGCTGCGTCCGGCAGGGCCCCCCGAGGTCCGCGGTGGGTGAAGAGCGGAGGTAATGATGTGCGTATCTGCCAAGGCAGGCTGGTAAATAGGGGAGGCAGAGAGAAGCTTCTAGAACAGAGGGTTCCGGAACCCGACTCGGACCCCCCCCGCTTTGCAGAACATGCCTCCTTCAAGTTCTTCACACCCACGTGCTCTTGCGGGAGGGGCGTGGGGGAAGTCGCGCTTAATGCCCACTTCTGTCTGCATCATGTGATCGTGTGGAGGCCTCTGCTCACCTGTGATCCTACAGCTGTGCTTTAGGCCACCGCACTGCCCAACCGCCCCCCGCCCCTCGCCCCCTGCCCCACTCCACGACCGACAGGGCCAAGGACCGTGCTTGGAGGGGCAGTGAGGAGGGCGCAGGGGCTCCTGGTCTGCTGGTCCCACCTGGTCTGCCTGGTCCCCGCTGGTCCACCTGGCCCCGCCTAGTCCGCCTGGTCCGCCTGGTCCACCTGGTCCCGCCTGGTCTGCCTGGTCCCCCCGGTCCACCTGGCCCCACCTGGTCCGCCTGGTCCCCCCGGTCCGCCTGGCCCCGCCTGGCCAAGGTGGTCCCCCCTGGCCCCGCCTGGTCCGCCTGGTCCCCCCTGGCCCTGCCTGGTCCGCCTGGTCCTGCTCTGCACTGATGCTCAAGGTTCTGTGTGGTTTCTCTTGCGTGGTGTGTCCCGTGTAGCGTCTTGACCTGTTACGGACACTGTGGTTTGAACATTTGTCTCTGCGTCACCACCTGACCACAGGCTCCTGGAGAGATGGGAGCCATCGCTGTGCCCACGCACAGACCTCGCTGACCCTTCTGTGCTGCGGAGGGGCCTGACACGTGTGACCCATGGGTCTCCTGAGATGCTCCATCCCACTTGGCTATGCTCAGCCTGTGATGGACGACAGTGGTTCTGGTCACCCTTGGCCCAAGGCCTGTGGGACGCAGTCGGGCCTAGACAGTGTTAAGGGACAGCGAAGATCTGGGAGAGAAAGACTGTGTGGCACTCGCGGCGTGCCTGTGCTCTGAGCATGGTGGCCTCGGCCCTGCGCTCCTTGGAAAGTTCGTGCTGGTCTCTGACCAAGAAGTTGGGGGTGTCCATGTGGGTGCTGCGGACACAGGTCTGGGAGCCTGTAGGAGCCAGGCTGCAGGAAAGGCCACCGCGGCGTCCCCACCGCGGGTACACAACCTGGGGCATTCTCGGAGGGCGGCTGTTGTGCCTTGTCTGCGTCCAGAGCCCACGGCTGCCTCTCTCCGGCCAGGGCCTCCGGCCCCAGGACACACCCTGGGCTGTCGCTGTCCTCACGTGGCTTGGCTCCGTCCAGCAGAACACTCACTGCTTGTGGGACACAGTCCCAGGACAGCCTCCCGACCCCTGGAGGAGAGACACCCGCCTCTGCCCCTCCTGGGCGGCCTCAAGCCCATCACCGGCCTGCAGGGAGCCCCCAGAGGAAAGACCAGAAGCCACATTTTCCTGGCCAAGGTCACATTCGTGCCGGGACTGCAAACTTCAGAACCTGCTTGGTGATCACAGCTGCCACCTCCAGAGGAACGAGGTCATGGGGAGCAGGGAGAAAAGGTCAAAGCACCAGACATCCACGAGAAGAGACAGTTGCGGAGGGGGGCCGGGGGCCGGGGGAGGCTCCCAGCCACCGCCCAGGGTGGGTGTGCCGCAACAGATTAGGCTAACTTAACTCTTTAGTCTCCCTACAACACAGCGGAACACCTAATAGACAGTATTGTAATCACTGTACCTGCCCGCATCTGCACGTCGGGAGCGAGAGCCGGCTCGTGGCCTGGACTGTCCCAGCGGGCCCCCCTCCCGCCTGGAGGAGGAGGGGGCTCCAGGACCGGCACGGGATGAGCCGAGCAGGTGCTGGCCCGGGGCGTTTCGTTCCTGGTGGCCTGGGCTGAGGGGCTGGAGCCAGACCAGGAGGGACCCCACCGAGAACGCCCTAAGCTCCGCCCCCAGCACTCGGCCTGGGCGCTGTGGGCGGTCACACCACGGGGCGCTCTCTCCTCGTCCAGAGGCGGCTTCTCTGGGTGCCTGAAGTCAACGCGTGGCCCTGCGTGGGAATGTGCCCGGGCTGGCCTGACTGCTGCTGGAGGAAGTCACACGAGCCCACGATGCGTTCGGCAGGCCCTGCGGGGCTTCGCGAGGCACCCGCGTGTCTGTGTCTGTGTCTGTGCACGAGGCTTCCTCCAGCCCCTTCCCTGGGAAGCGTCCCCAGCAGCACGGGGCGGCTGGACACGGCGTCCACCTCGGTGGTGTGTGGGGCGGGGCCTCCGTCGACCAAACTTGACAGGGTGCGGGGAGGGTGAGGCGCAAGTGCCACCAAGGCCCGAGCTGGGCTCAGAGCCGCGTCCGCGCCGCAGTCACAGGGGACAGGGCCAGGGGACCCTCAGGATGGGGGGTTTCGGTGGGCGCCCCTCACGGGGCTGCGTCCTGGGCCCTGGGGGCTGAGCGCCTTGGCGAAGGTAGAGCTCTGGATTCGAGCCACCGCGCCCCTCCCCCACCCCACCCCTAAGGACAACAGAACTCCGCCCAGGCCGAGGGACCCTGTGACCCAAGCGAGGAGCCTTCCCGGTTCTGGGCGACACTGACCAAAGCCTCTGTCCCTGCCGGCTGGCCGAGTCTGGCTGCAGCCTGGACGGCCTGTAGCAGGACGGAGGTCCAGCCCTCTCCTGGAGGCCCGAGGTGGTCCTGCATCGCCCTCTCTGGCCTCGGACCTTGGCGAGCTCGGCCCTTTTTCCTGGCGCTGCAGGCTTGTCTGAGGTCCTTCCGGCCGCCTATCTCTGCCCGACGTGGCCTCGCCAGCCTTCTCGACTCTGACTCGGGAGTGAAAAGCGGACAGACGAGAGGGCAGAGCGACAGGCCTGCCCCCTGGCCGAACGCAGCCCCCAGCCCCTGAGGCTGGTCTCCCATGGGGCCTGCCCAGCCCAGGCCCCGTGGGGACAGGGAGCCGTGGGGACAGGGAGCCAGGCGGCCCGGTCTCTGCCGATGCTGCCGGGGGCCTTCCCAGCGCCTCTGCCACGCTGTTCACCTTTTCAAATTCTCTTTTTTCACTCATCGTCGCTTTCCAAACCACAATTTCAGAATCTATTAAAGGAAACATAAAATCCCCAATTGGTTAGAATTCTCAACATTTAAAAATACGACCATTGTTGTTACAGCTGAGCCCGGGCAAATTCGCCAGCGTCTTGGAACTCTGCGGTCCAGGCCTCTCGCCGGCCCGCGTGGGCACCGGCAGGCAACTCCACTCCGCGCTTGGAACTCGAAAAGGCAATGGTGTCACTTTAAGGGGAGGAGAAATGAAACCCCTGGATCTGACACCGTTTCTCGTTTTATTTTTCAAATGTTAGTTTCGATCTCGGTTTCCATTCTTATGGAAATGACGTTCTAATTTCTACACGCGTTTACACGCACGGCACTTTCGAACCAGAAGGGAAAACCCCGTGTCCACCGCGAATTTGTCAGTTTGCGTCGCTTAGAAAGCGCTCGGGGACCGGCCTCTGCAATGCCGCCCCTCCCGGGGGGGCCCCGGTGGTTTTTAAGAGGGGACGCCCGCCAGGCAAAACGCTACAGCTCTCCGGGCCCGAGCCAACAAAAGCTCCGCGTCCACCCTGGGAGAAAAATCCGGAATGGCTGGCATGTCGGCTGGTCGCTGTCCCAAGCCTGTGTCCCTGCGGCCAAACGGTGCCTCCCCCCGGCACCCTCCAGGCCGCACAGCCCGCGGGCAAGGCCACCTCCGAATGCGGGCAACTCGACTTGCTTGCTGGTAGAACGAGGAGAGAGCCGGTCACACGCCTGGAGCCGGACAGCGTCTAGTCATGTGTGCGGGTCCCCACCCCATTGCTAAGGGGCTGGGGTGAGCGACACGGGGCGGGGGGGCACTTTTCAGGAGGGCGACATCGGGGAGCTCCTTGGTGGTGGGGGCAGTGGAGCAAAGGGCCCCAGTCCTCGACGGGGCACTTTCAGATTATGGGGGAGCCCCAGGGTGGCACCCTCACAGTGTCAGAGGACTCTGCCCCACAACTGGCAGCCGGCCGTGGCCTGACGATGCCTTTTGCCAGGAACTAACGCCCCCTTTCGACATTGCTTTGCAGCAAATGCTGACCGATGCTGAAGCACCGTCACAGGAGGGCTGCGTCCCAAAGGTAGGAGAGCCACTCGGCGCCTTCCCGCGC